AGGAGGTGTGGGGGGGTGGGGTGGGGTGGGTGGCGGTTAAAGACATGAAAATGACCTCCTGGATCTCGAGAGATTATAAGCCATGCATAGAAGGTGCGTAGGCATCTATTGTAACTGTTCTTTAGTAAGAGAGTCTATGGCAGCACCTAGAACTGTAAAGTAACGTTCTGAGATCTGACACATGCATTGAGGAACAACTACCATGCCAAATTTGGGATCTATTTATGTACTTTAAGTACCTCTAAGGCACTAAGGTCCTCATCTGGTATACTGTAGCATGCTCATGAGCGCAGGGGAGAAGTGGCCCATCCCTAATAATGTTTGTCCAGGAAACACATGAACAAATTTGAAGGCAAGAATGGCAAACAAGGCTATATGTATATATTTTGACCAAGCCCTGGGATTTTCTGTGCAATTTAGGAACAACACCACGTGGGGTTGTACACGTCACTTCCATGCTTTGGCTCCATAATTGCTGTTTACAGCTATATTTGTTGTGTAGTCTGTATTGTTTTTATTACCAAAATATTTCCTCTATCATAGGAGTCTACCTTGTTTGGAGGAATGTTGTAAAATGTGTTACACCGATTGGGAGGGGTCTGAATATTCCCTTGAGCAGTATTGGGGGTCTTAATCTCTAGCGCCACTATCAGCTCAGAATTAGTCTTTTCTGCTTATAACTGTGCTTGGGTCCTTTTGCATGAAGCCCCACACATGACGTGTTCATTCATTCATTCATTGTTTCCTTGTTTTAGGTAAACTGTGGCTACGATTGAACTTAATTAAAATGAGAGAACGAATTAAGATGTGGCCACAAATTAATAAGTCATGTGAATGAATCCTTAATTAGTGGCCATGATATCTATTTTATCTTCTGCATGTCTTGCGCAGAGCTCTGTACTTTTGGAATAATTTGGTTCTGAAAAATAATAATCAAATCTTGAACTAATGCATTTTAACATGTGGGGTTTGCACAAGTGGCAACTTGTTGCCGCCATTTACATAATTTCTAACTGAACAAATCAAATCAAATCAAAGAGGAAAAAAAACATACTGTTGAAATTGTACCACTTCTCCGATATCTTCACAAGCAAGAGGCTATATTATCTCCTCTATACACCATCTCCTCTGGTTGCCCCCTTTGTCCCACAGGTCTTGCCAGGGAACTTTAGTAAGACCTCCTGTGTTAATGTCTTCTGATAGGAAGTCTCCGGGGTGCTGTGAGAAGTGATACTAAAAGTAATTCCAGCTGAAATGACACGACAAAGAGAATACTTTATATGAGCTCCAGAGGCATAAGGCTGATAGACTGGAGTCCAGCCTGCAGTTGTTTATCCGGGTTCATGTGTCAGGGGCAGTGCAGTGCCCTCAGCTACCCTCCTAATGGCCACTGGTCAGAAAACACTCAAATAACATCTCTTTAGCATATCTTCCATTCGAATCTACATATTTGTCACACCGGTTGTGAATTTTTAATTTGTGCTTCATTATAATGCAGGTTTTAATTCCTCCTGACTAATTTATTTAAAC